TCCCCCCTTTTCTTTATATACTTGTTATTTACACTTAGTCAATTAACATAGACCAATGTAGTTATATCCTTGTAATCATTAAGGACTTATACCAATTCTCATGTATTATGATAAGACTCTTCGACTTCTGTATCTTCTTTTGTTTATTTGATCACTTGGACTAATTACATAATCCGCATAGTTTAAGATTCGGCTGGAACCTACAGTTATGGACCTCGAAGAGTGTCTAATCCTTTCTCTTCGAGGTAATTTGAGTCTTTACCCGATCTTTGGTGACATGGACTAGTTAAATAAGAGTTATTTGTAAATAGGTGTCCTAACGCACCTTAAAATCGTTAGGTGGCGACTCTTCTCTTTTAATATCCACTTAAAGGAGTTGTCACATGCCGAAACTCGCTTTCACGAGAAAATGGGGCGCGACATGTGTAGATGACATACTCTTGATCGGAAATAATTTAGAGGAACTAAATGCTCTGAAAGTATTTTTACATCATGAATTCAGGATAAAAGACTTTGGCAACTTATATTATTTTCTTGGAATGGAAGTCTTGCGTGAATCTGAGGGACTGATTTTGACTCAGAGGAAATTCACTCTTGATATGTTGATGAAGTTTGATTCCCTTCATAAATCACCTGTTTCTTGTCCACTTGATCCCACTATCAAATTTTTGGCTAAATCTGGTCCTCCTATCAAAGACCCGACCTTGTATCGACACTTACTGGGCAAATTGAACTATTTGACTCATATAAGGCCAGGCCTTTACTTCACTCTGCAGCATTTGAGCCAATATATGCAGGATCCACGGGTACCTCACATACAAATAACTCTATATGTTCTTCGATATTTACTAAGGACCCTGGTCTTGGACTATTTATGTCTTCTTCCCCTTCATATCAATTATTGGCTTTCTGTGAATTCGATTGGGGAACGTGCCCAGAATCACGTAAGAATGTCAGTGGTTTCTACATATCCCTTGGATCTTTCCCTATTTCCTGAAAATCCAAGAAACAGACCTCAATCTCTCTAAGCTCTGCAGAAGCTGAGTATCGCTCCATTCAGTATGTGGTCGTCAAGCTCACCTGGTTAATTAGGCTTTTTGATGATTTGTCTATTCTGATCTCTTTTCTGGTACCTCTTCACTCTGACAGCTAAGCCGCAATTCACATAGCTAAAAATCCCGCCTTTCACGAAAGGACAAAGCACGTGAAAATTGATTGTCATTTGTTCGTCAGCAGTTCATGGCGGGTTTGATTTCTCTTTCGTTTGTTCGCTCCTCTTCTCAACTCGTCAATTTGTTCACAAAATCTCTTACTGGCCCGATTCATCACCGATTGTTGGGCAGGTCAGGAGTACTTTCATCCCTCTCCAACTTGAGAAGGGGGTTGGTGATGAAAACGTTAACGATGGAGTTTTCCAATCGATCTCGAAGCTTCTAAAGAAGAAAAGAGGTTAGGTTAGATTTGGACCAAACAGGATGTTATGTCTAAAACCTTGGAAGGTCACTACAATATCTGTGTTTGTAAAGTTTTGGGCTCCAGCTATTTTATTTCGTCTTGAGCCACTTTCGTTTTGGGCCTATTAGAAGACTGTGGAAAGAGTATGTTTTAGAAATTAGGCTGTAAATATTATTTCTGTTTTTGTATTTATCTTCTAGTTTGTTATAGGTGAGCTAATAGTCTATGAACACGCAGCATAGGCCGTTATTTATAGATTCCATTCTTGCTGTATATAACACAATCTGTACGGTGCAGAATTAATTCAATACAGAAAAACATAATTTTCTCAATCATCTCCTTTCTATTTTGTCAATTTGCTGGTTCTGAATGTAAATTCAATGTCATCAAATGGGCTAATTAAGCCAAAGATTCTCATATTACAAGGGAATAAAACATGGTATTAGGTGAATAATTACTTTTATAAAATTATGGGTGTTAGGTAATTAGTGTCCACCACATGGCCCTTGATAAACCCATTAATATTTCCAACTGTAGTATATATGCACACAAAAACTCTACCCATCTCATTAATTATCTAATTTTATATGACGTTTGATTTAAAAACGATGTTTCAGATGTTAATTTGAGTTATGCACTACATTAGTATTAATGGAAGAAATTATTAGAATCATTGTTAAAAAGTTAGTTTGATAAAACTGTGTGCTTCTGAATGATCTTTCATACCTTACCAAATTAATTCCATAGTCCTACAACAAGAAAAATAAATGCAATAGTTAAATTAAATGGTAATAAAGCAAGAGACAACTATCAAAAAAGAAATTTACTTTTTTATTTAACAGAAACGCGTCAAAACTGGGTGACTGAATTAAAGTTATCTTCAAAAGACTGTCAACTAGTATATCTTAGATCTAATCTTTTTTTAAAAATATTTAAAATACCTTAGGAAAATATCACGTCAAGTTTTAAAAATTTTACATTTATGATGTTCCAAAAAGAAAAGGCAAGCCTTATAAAGTGGGACATAAGTAATATATTACTCATATTACGAAATCATTCCCCATGTTGTTATTCTATAAAAATACATAGTAGCATATGTAACTCCAAATAATTGAGAAAACAACGTGAAGTAGGTGGAGAATAATAAAAATATAAAACAAGATCCTGCTTTAGATTTTTTATCTATTATTGCATATTATAGAGTCAACTAACTTTACCTAGTAGCATGACTATGTTTACCTCCGTAGGGATGAATATAGCATGTTGACCACCCGTTCACATGAACAAAATAGTTTTTGCACTAACTATATATATATATATATATATATATATATATAGTTAGTTTTAAGTATTAACATGATGCTGTTATAAAAATTCATAAATTTCAAATCTCGAATATGCTTTATTTTGTTATTCAATAAAAAACTACACGTGGTACATTGTAGCTACAGAAAATGGAATGCATATTCGAATTAATTAAAACGTGAAACTTGAGAATATATTATAAAAGTATGATGAACAGAAACCTGTCGGGTGATTTTATATCAATTTTTCTGTGTACCTTTTTGTGAATTGTTGCGTATATAAATGAACTTGGTTATACTGGTAGCATGAACCAAAACTTGCTACAGTTCACAATATGGCTGCAAAACAAGTAGTCTTTCCATTTTCTCTGATATTTGCTTTGGCATTCATCCCTTTACTTGTGTTTTCTGCACAAGCTGTTCCATTAGAAAGGTTGAATTCTTTAAAAGTTATTAAAAGTGTGAATAAAAATGGCCCTTTTCTTGGTCTTGTCACAGTCTATGCACCAGAAGAAGAAGCTTTCTTTAGTACTGGTGTCTTTAGGCCTGATCCTAGACACCCCTTTGTTGATTTATCAGGTAACTGTAATGTTTTTGTGGATTCAACTAACTCATTACTTTTCTGCTTTAATTATATATAAATGTGAAGGGGAAAAAAGTTGAAATATATACATATAATAAAGTTAGATTTATTCTGGATTCACCTACTCAAGATCTTGGATTCGCTTATGCAGTCTCTAGCTCCTTGATTTACTTCAAAATATTCTTGGTTTCTTTGGCTTTAACTTATGTTAATTTCCAGAATTAAGACTGACTTAAGAATCATTCTTGCAGGTAGACGTTTCCAGATTGGGAAGGTTGCAGGAAAGAAAGTCATTTATGTGAAATGTGGAGTTGGATTGGTAAAAAAATTCTGAGATCTTTCTTTTCAAGTCAAATGATAATATTGTCCTTTCTTTAAAAAATAATTGTGCTGCTATTCTTGACCACTCGTTGATGATAAGAGAGAAGTAAAAGACCACCTATGGGCATGATGGGATAGTTAGAATATATCAATCAGATGTCTCGATTTTTACCTTTTTACTATCTTAGTGCATCTATCCGGCTCGAATCTTGAATAGTCAGGCGAGTGAGTTTTTGAATATTGCGAATGTATAAAGAAAAAATAAGGGAAAGTAAGAGTAAAGTTACTGTAGTACCATTTTGCAAAGATTTGATAAAATAGTTGATTGGCTTATCCTTAGGTGAATGCAGCAGCAGCAACACAGCAGATGTTGGATCTGTTTGACATAAAAGGAGTAATCCATTTTGGTATTTCTGGTAATGCCAACAGTTCTATGCACATTGGAGATGTCACAATCCCATATCAAGTTGCACAAACTGGGCTCTGGGATTGGCTGGTAAATCTTACTAACTTTTAATCCTTTAAACAAACCAATATTTTTTTAATTTTTTTTCCCACTGACATTATAGTTGGCTCACATAAATTGTGTGTTTGGACAGAAACCAAATGCAACTTTGGAACCAAATGATTTTGCTCAATTTGATTTCAAGAATTATAATGCACCAAAAGGAGGGGATAACAAGTTGGGGCGTGTTGGGTATAGCACTGAGCAGTTTTATTCAACTTCAGGGGAGGTTAATGTACCTCAGAGACCAGTTTGGTTTAATATAACCAAGAATTGGCTTCACGTAGCCTCTCACTTACAGGTAAGTGATGGACTTCAATTATATTGTTATACCAGTACTGATATCGAGTAACTATGTTCAGCAATTAGAGGCAGATCGATTTTCTATTTGGTATGATTGTAATGTGTTTGGATCCAATAACAGGGGATGAAACTGGAGCAGTGTGCAAATTCAACTTTGTGTCTTCCCCAAAAGCCTAAATTAGTTGTTGGACTTAAGGGGGCAACTTCAAACTTTTTCATTGACAATGCAGCTTACACAGATTTCCTTTTCAAAACTTTTGGGGTTACATCACTTGACATGGAGAGCTCAGCTGTTGTAATGGTAATTTGCTTTTCCTTCTAACTTTTATACAAGATAATGTAATAAGATTCTTTATATTATCAGGTCACCTGACACCTATAAGATAGTTATATTATGTTGTTTGGACTTTTTAAATGTGCCGACTAGTACACGTCAGATTCTCCTGCATTTTGAAGAATCTAACACGGGTGCGATAGCTCTTTTAATTTGAACTAATAGCTCTTTTAATTTGAACTAATAGCTCTGTTTTGGTGATTTTGTGCAGACATGCTTGTCAAATGGCTACCCAGTTATCGTAATTCGTGGAGTATCAGATTTAGCAGGGACACAAGAAGGAGACAACACAATTAGATTATTTGGACCTTTAGCTGCTCTAAACACAGCCAAAGTTGTTATTAGTTTTGTCAAGTCACTTCCAGGAAACTATATTTCCAAATTCTAGCATGTTAATAACAACTAGAATATTTCGTAAGACAGATTTAGGACGAGATTTGTGCGTCTAATTGAATTTACTATCTTAGGTCGAACTATGTATGCATATGTGAAAAATATCCAAATATATATGTATAAAAAGATCACACTTATTCGATTCGAAACTTACTGACTCTTAATTCTGAATACGTGAATATCATTTATTCCAAAGATGAATATTTGATGGTATTTACGAGCTCAAACAACTAGGAACTGATCCCATTATTCAACATTTTCAATTAGAATAAGTGATTGATTGGATCTTTCATCTTTGACTAAATATGTGATTTGCTGGATCTTTGACTAAGATTAACTAATAAAGAGAGAACATGGTCATTTCATAAATGGATGTATCAATGATGAGCAACTACAACTAAATTTTCAACTTGTAAACTACGTACCCTATAGTTTCATGTAATTCATAGAGCTCCCTTTTGTCAAATATTGTGAACCAAAGCTACAATTTAATCTCAAACAAACAATTTTCCCTTATGTTTCTTTTATATCATAAACCCAATCGTACTATCATTTATTCAAATTCTTCGAAGCTTTTTGCAAACTCAAAGGATAAATAACAACATAAAATACAAAAGAAACTAAAAGAAATTCAAAATAAGAAGAGTACGAAGGCTAATGAGAGAAGGATCGGATTTACTTATCTATTTGTAATTTTTTCAAAAAAAAAAAAGAATTCCTTCATCATTGTTTATGTAGAAATATTATTTTGAAAGAGTTGAGTGGTATGAAAGTACTGAACACGTGAATTCAAAGGTAAATTAACAAAGTAAAATAAAATTGGGTGGTTTTGTAACTAAAGGGAAAAAAATAATTATAAATTATTGAAAATAGTGAGGAAGAATGTAGCACGTGGAGTTTGGAATAACACTTCGAAAGCTTCTCTAGTTCACTTAGTGGGACTTCTCGTTATCAATGGCTGTGTTTCAATTTTTATCTTCCATTTCTTAAAAGTATTTTTTAATTGGGCAATAGGGAAATAGCAATAATATTTTGGTAAAAACTTTTGCACACTCATTGTTTACCTTAAATCAAACAATTTAACCTAATAGTTATAACCTAGAGAAAAAAATACTTACTACTTATCATAGTTAAGTAATATTATATGTATGCAAAACACATTTTTATATTTACTGATTTGATATAAATATCGAATACGGATAAATTTTTATAATAAATATTTTTGTGTCCGATGGAGATGTCACAATCCAAACCAATTTGCTCAGACATGATTGTCGATATTTGTTGGTGACTTGGACTTGATTTTGGCGTTTTCAAAACTTAAAAGTTTACAATTCTCTAAATTTCATTTAAAACTACCTATCTTAATGATTTGGCCTGCCATATTTTGGGGTGCCTTTTGACGACTTGATGGGGCAGTGAAAGTTGCTTCTGGGGTTCATGCCCACAATTTCCCATTTCTTTCACATGTGGGAATATTAATCACATAAATTATTCTGTGTATTGTGTAATTAATATATTTCTCTATATCATCTGATTACTATTATTTAAGTATGATTTGTCAATCTTCATAACTCGCTGATCTCCTATCTTTACACCTATAAAACCAAATGAAACAAGTGATTTTCCTGAACTAGATATTGCAAAACGCAATCTATCAAAGGAATTGATAATCAGGTGGGGGTACACTCGATTTTGTTGAAGAATAATTAAAAATTGGTGTAAGAAAACTGAGGAGTTTTTCCCTAATAGGCAAACTAGGTTAGTTACGTTATTCTCATAGGGTTAAAATTATACTCGTTTTTCTTTCCTAGTAGAGGACGTAGAGAATTAAATTAGGTGGTCCTCTTGTACCTCTCAATGCTGCAAATTAGCTGTCCAAATTACAATTCTTTTTCCTCTCTAAAATCTCTCTCCCTTCTCTCTAGATGTCAAACAATTCTGCAGACCCCACTCCCCCACCAGACCCACCTAACCAAACAAAGGAGATATCGACAACTCATCTGCCTCTCCCCCCAAAGCTACTAACGATCGGGTAACGGCTAGCCCAATAGCTAATGCTCTTAATGTCATCGTCGGAACTACTACTACAGACCCACCACCAAACGGAAACAACCAACCTAAATCATCTGATAGCAACCAAACACAAAATTCCTCTAATAACAACACCCAAAAACACACCATGTTTCTTAATCGCACTTTTTACCCAAAAATCTCGACTAATTTCGATCAACCCCGATCCAAAACCCTACACACAAACAACCTAAATCAAAGTGACCAACAGTGCATTCTACCACAAAATAGCAAACAACTACCCGACCCTAACCTCCCTAGAATTTTTTCTCTCAAATTTCCGCCTTCACTGTAGCAGTGAACAATGCCAAACAGTACCGTGAACAGTGACTTCGTTACTGTTCATCGCTGACAAGCTGGAGCTTTAGGCTTCAATGGCCATAATGGCTGGCGACCAACCATCTTTTCCTGCTGGTCTGCCCTCCCCCAGCGTTGCACAACAACATACAACAACTAACTCCAACCCAGCTCCTCTAGATTACTCTAAGATTTTGAAACCAAAATTTTTAAATCCTCCGGTGATGGCTACTGTTGCAGCTTCAATTCAACCCATTCTACTGTGATGAGCAGTGTATATGAATGGCCAACCAGTGGTTAAATTCACAGAGGCAGAAGTAGATCGAATGAACATGATTGAAGGCCTCCAATATGTTGTCGTTGGCAAGCTTTCACATGGATCTCCGGAGATTCACGAGCTTCGCCGAATAATTTTAACTCAATGTGGTATCAAAGGTGAGTGTAATATTGGATTCCTTAGAGATCGTCATGTGTTAATTAGATTAACTCTATGGCAAGACTTCCTCGATTTCACATCGAAGAGTACGTACTACATCAAAGCCAAAGATGGGTACAAATACCAATTGCATACTCATATCTACGATGCAAAATTTAAGGCGGGTGAAGAAACTCCGATGGCGATGGTGTGGATTTCTTTTCCTGGACTGCTGCCTACCTTTTTTGTAAAGAAAACTCTATTTTCTTTGGCTACAACTGTGGCAAGACCAGTGTGTCTTGACGCGGCAACTACTAATAAAACTAGGCTGAGTTGCGCAAGAGTGAAAGTTCTTATCGATTTGATGGCCGAACTACCTAAAAAGGTGCGATTGGATATTGATGATGAAGTTTCTGGTGGTGTTCAATCAGAATGGGTGAGAATTCAGTATGACATGCTTCCCAAATATTGTAAGGAGTGTAAACTACAAGGACATGATGAAATTAAATGTTGGCGTTTGCACCCCGAGCTTATTGAGAATCGAAGCAGCAAGAAAATGAATGATCTTGCTGAGTTGAACAACTGGAATACTGCTGTTGATGACCAAGAAAGAACCAAAAATCACACTACCCCTTTAATGATTCTCACGAGTGGAAAAGTAGTCGGGAACGTAGGTGAACAGTGGAAGGAAGTTCGGGATAATCAGGGAACCAACAAAAATAACAAAACCCAGGTACAAAGGCAAACTCCAGTGAATGTTGGTGTACAACAGGTGCACAATAACTTGGCACTGGTGGAGGTCAAAGAAGATCAGACAAACAAGGTTCAAACAAGGAATAAATTTGCAGTATTAGAGAAGGAACAAAGTGATATAAACGAGAACAACCAACTGGTTTTGGTGGGGGGAAAACCAGTCTTCAGTTCTAAAGATGGTCCTACTCCTTCTGGAATTCAGTACACAATCGACTGGGTTCATAGAAGGTTTGGGACTAGCAAAGAGGAGCTAAAACAACTCAATGTGATCACAAACCAATCTTGTCATGCGATTCCATCTCAAACATTTAAAGATTCTGGGTAGATTAAGGATCTTGATGAGGTAAACTCTACAAAGGTCTTATGGAGCGATACAGTTGAGTTTAAAGATGATCAGCTGGGCAAAACAAAGACAACAGAAGACAAGGTGAAGAAGGACAACAAGCCAAGCTCAACTGGCGATAGGCTGGCAACGCCAGGCCTAAAGCCAGGCTCACCTGGCGATAGGCTGGCGATGCCAGGACTAAAGCCAGGCTCCCCAGGCATTAGGCTGGCGACGCCAAGCATAAAGCCAGGCTCTCCAGGCGTTAGGCTGGCGACGTCAAGCCTAAAGCCAAGTTCTCCTGATGAGGCAGCTACAGTAAACCCAAACCTTAGAGCTACTAGAGAGATTTTGGCCTATATAGATGGTGTTCCGGCGTATGCATCAGAGAACAAACTTGATGGAGATGTTGATGTGAAGATTAGGGATGATATAGTGGGTTCAGACCAATTTTCAGGCAATGGGAAGTGTGGTGATATCACTAGAACAGTGCTTTCAGAGCTGACTGCTACAGTAACTCCTAGGCTAGGCAGTGTCTATGAGCTACAACTCAAGGAGTATAAACAGGCTGATGAGCGGGCAATTATTCCAAGAGCATCTGGGGAAATAGAGGAAGTGCCTACGGAATCTGGCACTGATAAAATTATGCAACTACATCTTAATATTCCAATTAAGACTCATCTACAACAGTTACATGATTTAGTTACACACAATGTGACACCAATTGATGAAGACTTATTGAGACAAAATCCAATGGAGGATGAAGGAGAAGATGAATCAACTGCAGAAAACTTCAAACAAGTGTCTAGGGAAGGGGATTTATAACCCCCAGCTAGTGCTAAAGGAGGTAAGAAAACTAAGAAGAATCATAGTAAAGATCCACCACGACCTTCAAGAATAATGCCAGGAGGGCAGCCTCTCTATCTAAATGATGATGATCAAAACATTAATATGGAACATAAGGTCTGTGAATACACAACAGGCCTTTCCTAGGGTGATCAACATGAATAGGGAGCATAATTTTTGTGTAGTTGCATTGATGGAGCCTTTTCAAAAGAAGGGACTCATTGATAGATATAAAAGGAGGTTGAATATGGAGACTGCTTATGCAAATATTAATGGGCAAATATGGTTGTTCTTCGATGCAGTGGTGGAATGGGAATTAGTGGAGGATACTGAGCAACAGGTGACTGTGAGAGTGTTTCACCATGACCTGGGACAGCACATGATGATGATATTTGTTTATGCAAAATGTTCAGCAATTGAGAGGTTGGATTTGTGGGATCACTTGTATTACTTAGCAAGTGATATGGAATTACCATGGTTGGTAGGAGGGGATTTCAATGTGATATTGCATGAAGATGAGAAAATAGGGGGACTTACAGTACACCCCCCTGAATATGAGGATTTTGCATTTTGTGTAAACTCTTGTGGTTTGTTTGAGCAAGGGTACAAAGGAAGTCCATTCACATGGTGGAATGGGAGATTAGATAGGATTTTTGTAAATTTACCATTTCAGAACATGTTGCCAACTATTGAAGTTGAGCATCTAATCAGAACTGGATCAGATCATGCACCATTGCTAATGACATGTGGGGTGCAGACAACCAATTTTGTCAAGCCTTTCATATTCTTGAACTTTTGGACAAAACATGCTACATTTATGGATGTGGTGAGACAGAATTGGGAAGCTGATTTCATAGGGGATCCATTTTTTATATTCAAGCAAAATATCAAGAGGGTGACGGCATCACTCTCAAAATGGAGTAGGGAAATATTTGGTGATATCTTCAAGCAATTGGCTATTTTGGAGGACATTGTTAGGGTGAAGGAGATGTTGTTTGAAGAAGAGCCTACAACTGAGAATAGGATTGTGCTTCAAAAGGTTCAATCTGAATTGAAGAAATACTTGAGTATTGAGGAGCAGTATTGGAAGCAAAAAGCTGGGATGACTTGCTTTACTGGAGGAGATAGGAATACAAGTTTCTTACACAATCATATCAATGGAAAAAGAAAGAAATTGCAACTGAAGAGGATCAAAAGTGGCAGTAGGGTATGGATTAAAGACCAGGAACAATTGGCTACAGCTGCAGTGAACTTCTATCAAAAATAGTTCATAAATGAAGGTGATGCTTCTGAATTTTCCTTGCTCAATAATGTACCTTCAATGGTCACTATGGATCAGAATTTGGAACTTAGCAGATTGCTAACAATTAAAGAAGTAAGGGCAGCAGTTTTTAAGCTTAGTGGGGAGAGTGCTAGTGGTCCTGATGGATTCACTGGCTTGTTTTATCAAACATGCTGGGATGTTATTGGTGCTGATATACACAACATGGTGCTACACTTTTATGGAGGAGTTGCATTGCCTAAATCCATCACTCATACCAATCTAGTGTTGCTGCCCAAGACACCTAGAGTTGAGACCTTCTCTGACTTAAGACCTATTAGTTTGAGCAACTTCATTAACAAGGCCTTGTCTAGGGTGTTACATGACAGATTGGAGAGTTTTTTGCCATCTCTAATAGCTCCTAATCAATCCAGATTTGTAAAGGGTAGGAGTATATTTGAGAACATTTTATTGACTCAAGAAATTGTCACTGACATAAAGTTAAGGGGAAATCCAGCTAATGTGATGATCAAGTTTGATATGGCTAAGGCCTATGATAGGGTTTCATGGAAGTACTTATTGCATGTGCTAAGGAAGATGGGTTTTTCTGAACACTTCATCAACATGGTGTGGAACTTGATGTCAAATAACTGGTATTAAGTATTGGTGAATAGGCATTCCTCAGGGTTCTTTAAGTCGACAAGGGGTGTGAAAAAAGAGGATCCCCTATCTCCAGCATTGTTCATTTTGTCAGCTGAGGTACTTTCCAGGTCTTTGAATAAGCTCTTTGAAGACAAGTCATTTGTGGGATTTGGAATGCCTAAGTGGTCTGATCCTTTAAACCACTTGGCATATGTTGATGATACGATAATCTTTGCATCTGCTCATCCCCCCTCTTTGAGCAAGATTATGGCAGTGTTGGGGAACTATGAGAAGATATCAGGTAAGATGATCAACAAAGATAAGAGTTCATACTACATGTATTCAAAGGTTGCTAATGGATTGTTTCAGGCAGTTGGAGCTATTACAGGATTTGCAAGAGGTAAATTCCCCTTCACATATCTAGGGTGTCCTATTTTTTACACTAGAAGGAGGAAGGACTATTATGAGGATCTTATCAAGAAGGTGAAGGCTAAATTGCATTCATGGAAAGGAAAACTGCTGTCATTTGGAGGAAAGGCAACACTCATCTCTAGTGTGTTGCAAAGTATGCCAGTTCACATGTTATCAGTCCTTGATCCACCAAACAGCATCCTGGGGCATCTACATAAGACTTTTGCTAGGTTCTTTTGGAGCACAAAGGAAGAAGGGAGAAGCAGACACTAGGCTTCATGGCAAAATCTTTGCCTTCCTAAAGAGGAAGGGGGGATAGGTTTTAGGTCCTTAAATGATGTCTCAAGGGCACTGTTTGCTAAACTATGGTGGAGGTTTAGGACCACAAAATCTTTGTGGTCTAATTTCATGTGGAATAAGTATTGCAAGAAGGAGCTACCAACAGTGGTGCATTTTAGGGGAGGGTCTCATGTTTGGAGACAAATGCTGAATGCTAGGGAAGAAGTAGAACATGAGATCGTATGGGAATTAAAGAGTGGAACAACTAATATTTGGCATGAAAATTGGACTGGATTGGGTGCACTTTATCATGTATTACCTGAAGACTTTCCAATCAATGAAGGTCTTCAGGAGGTGGCAGAATTACGGCAAGGGGAAGCATGGGATGATCAGCTGCTAGATCAAACTTTCATTGAGGATATTGCAGAGCATATAAGGCTAAATGTGCACTATGAAGGCAGTGAGGGATATTGGGATAGGCCATATTGGATGCCAACTCCTTCAGGCAAGTTCAGTGTTAGCAGTGCGTGGCAAATATTAATGCATAAGGCTGATCCAAATTAGGAATTCAAGTTAATGTGGATTAAAGGTTTTCCATTCAAGATATCCTTATTCTTGTGGATATTGTGGATGCAAAAAATAGCCACCGATGACATGTGGAGGAGGAAAGGGCAAATAGTGATGTCTAGGTGTTGGTGTTGTCAGCAGCCCCAAGAGGAAACCATTGAGAATATATTTGTCACAAGTCCTACTGCCTCTAAGGTATGGAACTTGTTCATGGGGGCTGCTGGAATTTCTATGCAATTGATTCAATTAAAGCAGATTATAAGGCATTGGTGGTATGCTCAGTGTTGTCCAAAATTAAAGCCACTATTTCAAGCAGTACCAACTATCATCACTTGGGAGCTTTGGAAGAGAAGAAATGCAGGTAAACATGGTGGTTCTGTGTCCACAAATAGGGTGATTCATGAGATAAATAGGACATTGCATCAACTGGAAAAGGTAAGGTATGCTTGGATCCCTAATATTCCATTGTTATGGCCAGACATGATTCAATACTTTGAAGGATATAAACCTAAGAGTAACATGGCAGCTTCCTTTTCATGGTTGGTACAAATGTAATACTGATGGAGCTTCAAAGGGCAATGCTGGACCTTGCTCCCTAGGCTTTTGTGTGAGGGATGATGAAGGTGATGTGGTGTATGCTAGGGCAGTAGACCTGGGAGTGACATCTAATGTGGTGGATGAACCTAAGGCTATTCTTTAAGGGTTGGAATATTGTGTGGAGCATAATCTTCACCCTCTCATACTGGAGACTAATTCATTGGTGATGAAGAAGGCGATAGAAGGGGAATGGGATCCTCCTTGGGTAATTGTACAGGATGTGAAGAAAATTATAGATATGAAGGACAACTTCAATGTGATCTTTCAACATGTGTTCAGAGAAGGCAACTCAGTGGCGGATTTTATAGCTAACATTGTGTTCTCTTTTGCAAGTACATCTAAGTTTTATTCATTCTCTGAATTGTCTAGTGCAGGGAGGAGGTTGATTAATCTAAACAAATCTCAATCACCTAACCTTAGGGTTAGGATATCAAAGAGAAGAACACAGACTGATGGCTTCACAGGATTGGACTTTGCACAAACGGATATGTCCAAATGCTAAGGAAAATGCTGAACCCATCATATGGTATTTTTGGAGATTGTTGAATCATTTCTCAGTGGTATTAGCATGCTTTCATGCTCAATCTGAGGATGGTTTAGCAATGTTTATAATGATGTCTACATTAAAGGTTCTAGTAGGGAAGGATTTGAGCTTACAAGATCACAAAAAGGCACAATTTCAAAGGTTGGCCTTTGCCTTGCAAAGCNTCCTTTGCCTTGCAAAGCCTGCTTAATTCCTGGTTTTTGCCTTGCAAAGCCAGCCTAAAGCCAGCTCATGCCTGGCTTTTGCCTTGTAAAGCCTGGCTTTTGCCCTGTAAAGCCTGCCTAAAACCAGCTCAAGCCTGACTTTTTCCCTGCAAAGCCTACCTAAAGCTAGCTCATACCTGGCTTTTGCCTTGTAAAGCCAGGCTCCTCTTCTATACATTAATTTTGATGAGTTAGCACATGATTAATATTTGAACAAAATCAGTCCACTGCATATGGAGATCATATAGTAGCTACACTTGGAAGACTATGTTGGCTTCAACTCTGTGGTGGAGATGTTTGGAATTCATTTTAGCCTATGGTCAATATACCATGGCGCCTGCTAAGAGCTTGATAGGTGTTGCTTGGTATTTACCAATAACAATTGGATTCACATACACTAATAGGAGAAGGAGGCATTCAACTTATCATGTTGTAATAGCTAATTCATTAGATTTTAGCTTTTCTATCTTTTTAATAGCTAGTAGCTTCATACAACTTCTATTTTGGTTTGGACATCTTATAAGTTTTGGACCCATTTTAGAATTTTATTTATATATTAGCCACTAGGCAAGTGCTGCCGAGTGGTATAGTTGCTTAAAATAAAACCTCCCTAAACAACAAAATGAGTTTGGTCAAGGGAGTAAGTACATCAATGGCAAGCATTTGGTGTCTAAACCAACATTTGCCGCCACTGTCCAAGCCAAGCTCTAATCTCCTGACAGTGACGCCATGGTTGAGATTCAACATGGCACGCACCTTGGCAAACTGGAGGTTTTCTTCAATGCGGAGGATTATCTAGTTAACCTAGCCAAAGAGTGCAGATTCACTATCATTGGTAAGTTCTATCGAGGTAAACCATCCATGGAGGAAATTAGAAAGACTTTTATTAGGCAATTCCAACTCTCTACTACTGTTAAGATAGCATACTTCGACCCTAAGCATGTTTACCTTGACTTCGCTAATGAAGTTGATTACAATCATGTCTTTGCTAAGGAGTATATTGGCGATGCCTCTATGAAAATTCTCATGTGGACTCCAGGTTTCAAACATGAGGAGGAAACTTCCATTGTCCTTGTTTGGATCCTAATTCACCAACTTCCCTGGCACCTGTTTAAATGGTAAATTGTATCTAGACTCGTGAGGGAAGTATGTGTGGTTGTGGCTCTGGACCTGGAAACCTACTCTAAGTCTAGAGGTAATGTTGCGAAGGTTAAAGTTGAAATTGACCTCCTAAAGCCTAGACTTGATCAAATATGGTTAGGTTATAAAAGACTAGATGGATATGATGATGGAAAGTGGCTTGACATTGAATATGAAAAGGTTCCAAGCTACTGTGTGAATTGTAAAATGCAAGGTCACTATGAGGGCCAATGTAGAAACAAGATCAGAGATGAAAGGATTAAAGCACATAAGGAAGCTAAACTCAATAAGGAGAAGGAGAAAAAAAAGAGATAAGCCAAAGGATAATGAATTTCAAACGGTTTCTAAGAAGAAGGTTGCCAAAGTGAGATTTCATAGCAATACCCAAATGAAAATGTCCAACAAGACCAATTGGTACAACCATGATGAGCAGAGCTGGACTTAAATTCAACCCCATAACCATCAAACAACAAATCAAGATCAGAGAGTTAAGATAAGAACTGACATTGTTATCAATGAACCACTCGAGGTGCAGAAGACTCCCATGATGGAAGACGTTCCAGGCAAAGGTAAACACAAATTGGATAAATAAACCACTCACAACAACAACCAGAAGATTGGAC